CAAAAACAAAATATTCACACAAAAACAAAGAAAACCCCAAACCCTCAAACAGACAGACAGACAGACAGACAAACAAACAAACAAACAAACAAAAGACATACACAGTATAAAGAGCCAAACAGACTTCCTGAATAGTTCAGGCTGCCACAGTCAAGAGCTGTGACTTTCCGTGGCTTGCACAACCTTATCCACAGGGGGAAAACTGCTACAGATATTTATGGAAAATGGAGCACTAAGCTGGTAACACATCTATGGAGCAGCCTATAAAGATGAAAAGTTCTGGGACTTTAAACTGAAACAGGAAAACATATTTAGCTGATAAATATCTGCATGGATTTGAATTCTGATTTTCAAGGAGGTTCTTCAAATCAGGAAAAAAGAGAAATATAGTGCTTTTCATTTGAAGAGAATGGTGCCAGTTCAGGCCAAGTGGAGTTTAGTGATGGAGGGCATCTGTGCCCAAACAAATGTATTTCTGGGTAATGGAAAACAGAAATACTACTTGACTGGCAGCTGTACAGTGACTTTTAATTTACAGAATTAGTTCACATTTATTTGAAAGAAGGGGTGACTCATTCTTGACCTCTAAAGAAGAAAATAATAAACACCTCTGTTTGGCTTTTTATGTGGAATCCCAAAGTGAAGTTATAACCAAAGTAAATCTCCTAGCTGTTGGCACTAAACTTAGTTAGTTGTTGCATTTTTTTTAAATGATGGGTTATTCTTATTATTTGTACAATGCCTTTCAGGAAGAAAAAAAACCAAATTAAAATGCTAATACAGTAGTATTGCAATTCAAATAATTATTTTTCCAGTGCTTCTACTTTTTCATATATAAAAACGTATTTCCACTTTGAGTTTTATGTGTGGCATCACAATAGCTTACACATGCACACAGTTAAATTGTTTATCTAAATGGGATAAAAATGTAATAAATATTGCTCACATGTATAGAAATTGCCTGGATATAGTGACACTAAATTACTTATAATTTTCTTCGTTAATAAGAATTTTTAAAAGGCCAATTGTAAAACAAGCTGATGCGTTATAAAATATCTTAATTGTAATTAGATTATATAAACTTACTTTATTCTATCAAGGAAATAAGCGGAGACATTAAATGGTGGATTTTGAGGTCCTTATTTACCTTGGAACTTGTCTGGAGACGATACTAAAGTCTTTAAATTATTAGGCCATAATGCTTAAGTTTGTTCAGAGAGAATCTACCTATAAATCAGAGAACTTAAAGTACTGCGTAAGAGCAAAGGCTGCATTCTTGAAATGCTGATAGTAGTAAACTTTAACAAGTGTACTTTACACCCTAGATCTATTCCCATGGGGGAGGTATTTTAATGCACCTGTATCTCTAGATACAATCCAATCCTTTTCAATAAACAACTGTTCCTTCAGCTTCCCTAATAGTGAAAATATTCTGGGGTACTTCCATATTCCCATATATTGCTTGTACCTTTAACAAACAGTAGACCAGGTTGCCTGTGTTTTGGAAACAGACTGCATACCTCCAAGAATGAATGAGAATACCATTTAGGTGAAAGTATTTCAATAAACTGTTCATCTACTTCCATGATATTTGTGCAGATAAACAGAGAGACGAGGCAATTTAAGAAGTGTTCTTTTTTAAACTAACAGGAGAACAGATCCAGTGTCCATTGATGGCAATGGAAAGGCTCCCATTGGTAGGTCAGTTCCAGAGTAGGTAAGCATCCAAGGAGTTTTTAGAAAGCCTGAAGGGAAGTTTAACAGGGTATTCTGTTGCCCAGAATTTAGGACTCCATCTATAACCTTTATAAATTAAGCATTGACATCAATAAAACACGGTGTTGGAGCTTCAAGTGTGTACATAAGTGCTTCACTGAATCTGGAGTCTTAGGGTAAGTAAAGATGTTCAAGAAGTCTGTGGCAAAAGTGCTGTAAGTATAGCGCTTTACTGAAAAATCTGTAGATTATGTTGGGACAGAACTGAAAACACATGCGCTGTTTGGTGCAGGAAGCTTGGATCCTGCCTGCACAGCTGTGGGCAGCAGCCAGGGGAAGCTCCTGAATGCCTCCCAGGAGCCTGTGGGAGTACCTGAACAGCCAGCCACCCTTGAGTGGATAGCAGTGCCCCTCTCCCCAGTCCCAGCCCCAGTCCTGCTCAACAGGTGGGGAGGGGAAATAGAGCCTCTCTGCCCTGTGGACTCAGTGTGGCTCCCAACCAAGACTTGTGCCCACACGCTGGGGTGGCGGGGGATGGGTTCTGCGTGGCAGAGAGGCTCTGTTTTCCCAGCTGCAGCCAGGAACCTGGGGAAATGGAGCCTCTCTGCTATGTGGACCCAGCCCGTGTGGCTGGTGGGAGAGAGACCATGGACTCCTTCCCTTGCAACCCTCCTGGCCAGGCTGCAGCACGCTGTTGGGCTGGGGTGGCTGCAGGGACAGGAACCTTCATTTCCCCTCCCTTGGCCAGGCTTTGTGGGGGACTGGGAATGTCCCTGGTGCCCCTGACTTGGCAGTCCTGCGCCATGCTGCCTGGGATGGCGGTGGCCATGCTCTAAGTTAACCCTCACTAAAGCGCTCTGACAGAAAACTCGCTGTCAGATCTGTGAATGTCTGTTCTGTTACAACTTTAGAGTGCTTTCTACCTGCTTAAAGTGAGACGGGTAGGGATCTACTCATGTGCGTGGAGGGGAAGTAAAAATCGCAGACTGCTTGTAGTGCCTGGAGCCATTTTCAGGGTCTTTTCTTGGCAAGCTCCCCCACCGTTGATTGGCTGAGGGGCCCCAGCAGAACCTGCCCCACACCACTGATTGGCTGAGAGCTGCCTTTCATGTAGCTCCACCCCTCACCGCTGATCGGTGGAGAGAAGTGGGGCCACACAAAAGGCAGCCCTCTCCATCAACCAGTGGCAGAGGGACGAGGGGGCAGCCACCATCTTGGCTGCTCCCCTTCAAGCGGAAGGCTTCCCCTTCTCTGGCAGGTTGCAAGGTTAGGCTGCAGCAGCCACTGGCTCCCACTGGGGAGCCAGCATTTTATTTTTAGTAAGTATTTTTTCAAGGGGCAATTCCACAAAAAAATTACAAAATCACGAATTGAGTGGATCCCTAGAGACAGATGTACCTAGCCTAAATGTACAAGGCTCTAGACTGAACTCTCAAGTGAGAGAGGTATTAGAGATTCAGGAAAAGAAAAGGCTTGCAAGTTTAAATTTACTAAGCCACCTTCTTAGCTGGTGGAAATTCATGTAACTTCCATTCAAGTCAGTAGAGTTAGGGTGATTCATACTGTTCTGGCCCAACGTATGTTAAATCTTACTAATGGTCCTCTGGATGTTTTTCTTTTCTGTCTCTGATTACTCATAGCGATATGTATACTGCAAACTTACTTTGTTCAGCAGTGACACCCATACACAACACATTGTGTGGTACTGAGGGAACACTAGTTAACACTGCTATATGACAGTATCTATTAGCTCAACCCCACACTTCCCCCCCCTCCCCGCTATCAGCAGGGCACAGGTATAGCTATCATGTTTCTTTTGTGGGCACAGTGTGTGGATCAGCATGGAATATTTGAGGGCATCACTGTTTGGCACAGTAAGTTTGCAATCCAGACATAGCCCAGAAGTATATAAATATAAAAAATAAGAAGCTTTAGAAGTATTTAAGAAAGATATTAAATTTAAATATGGGGATCATATCTTAGCAACTAAGCAAATGTTCAAAAACAAGCAAAGACAACCTCCAATGGTCTATGTCGAGTGCTTTTTATATATCTCCACATGTCAATTATCCTGAACCTCGATCAGAAAACCATAAAAGACACATACATGCCTAAGGAAGCCATTCTTCTGATTATTATTTCTGCAGCTTTTCACTTCATGGCAGTTGCTGCCAGCAGGCTTCAAAGAGGCAGACAAGAAAAGTATGTAGGTTTTGTTCGTAAGCAATCTCCATCATCATCCTAAGTGTGAGAACAATAAAGGGCAATGACTCTGCATATTGTTTGACTGCTTTTCTCTTTCATTATTTTGTCACTTTATGATTGTGCTGTCGTCTTCCACAACTCTTTCTGTAAGAAAGGGAACCCACTAGGAGCAGTGAAAGGCATTTCAAAGCTTTAACAGAATAATGTGAAAAATCTAGCCCCAAGATATAAAACACGATATTCCTAGCATATAAGTAAATGTCACTGAGGTGCTTGAGTGAAAATCATGAAAATTCTACAAGATAGCATTCCATCAGTATAGCCTTTGACCATACATTTGTATGGCAACATCTTAGTGTATGGGAATCATCTGGAATAGAGATCTCTTAAATGTCATGATGGTTGGAGTTCTATAGAATAAAGTGTGAAATTGGCTGAATGATTAAAACAGATGCTTTATGAACCTCTGGGTAAAATTAACTTACAACGGCAGACTGCACAAGAATCGGCTGAGGATAGATGGCTGTCTAAAGTATATCCCTATTCAAGGAACAGAACTGCTTTAATTTCCTTGCATTACTTGTTTTATAAGTTTTGACAGGTGGATGAATCATGTTCATTCAACAGATAATAAAGTTATCATTTATTATATTAACAGAACAGTGTTCTGTTTTGAATGATTATGTGAACACTTGTTTTCCATATTGCAAAAAAAAGGAAGCTGCATTTTTTTATGAGAAAAGAGGATGCACAAAGAAAACCTCTCCAAAAAACCTGAAGTATTATTCCTTCAAGAAAGCAATGAAATATTTGCAATACTGAAATAGAAATGATTCATCTTCTGTCCAAGCTACACTGACAACTTTGATCTTTCCTTTCACAGCTTCTGTAAAAGCAAAATAAAAAGTATGAAGTAAACAGATAGCATGATTCTTCTCATAAATTAGTATTCTTACTTCCCTGTTAATCGTGCAGTTCCTATAGTATTGTTCATTAACCAAACAGGCTGATGCAACATGAGCTAGTGATGTGCAGAGTTTACTGGTCACATAGTATGCCTCTTCAATTTATTACCACTGTTAAGTCGCATTAAAATAAACTAAAATATATATCTTATAGTTTCCTAATGTGCATTTTCCATATATGCTATTGCTGTAGTTGCCATAAAGAAGCTATTAATTTTCAGTGTGAGAGAAAGACTTCTTTCTAGATATGGTAGAAAAAATCTTGAGTATGGTAATGTAGGTGAATCTCCTCTTCCATCCCAAATGCCTGGAGATGTTGCTTATTTTTTGTTTTCTTTATCTTTGCTGTGCTTATGCTATGAATTCTGAACAGAACATTTTTGAATGACTAAGAAAATGGAATATCCTAAAACATACCTCAAACTGTGTTAAAGAAGCAGACTGCACTGACAGTTTTTTTCATATTAAAGTGTCCCCTCCAGTTCTGATAGTGTTCAGAGATTTGTCTCTGCAGGTAGCCCAGGCTATACACAAATAGCAACAAATAAAGAAAGAAACTCTTGAGAAAGGGAATCCATCACATTAGCATTTCTTTCATTTTGTGTATGATGTCTGATTGATTTTTCTAGACTCCTTAGCTTCAGTGTCATGCACAGCCTAAGTATTCACTTAGAGGTGAATGATTTTTGGAATATCTGCTGACATACAGTGCTGATATACAGTATGATACAGTATGGTATGCAGAATTAGCAAATTGTTGGACTGATATTCATCATATTCATGAACAGTTTTTCACTTGCTGAAGAACTACACAGATCTCACTAGTACAACTCCTGATTTATAGAGAATCATAGAGAAGTAGAGCGGAAAGAGACCTCTATAAGTTGTTTATTCCAACGCCCTGCCTGAGGCAGGATTGTCCATATCCAAACCATCCTATACAATCTACAATCTAAGCTCTACATAAGATTACTATCAACCCTGACACAACACAGACCTAAAACCCTAGCCTGCCACAGTTAAAGCAAGGGAACCATAGCAGCCAACATCCTGCTTCTAAGAAATATTGTCGATATATACTCAAGAGATCCTGGGTAGGGGGCCACCCCCCAACACCCCCTGCTACAGAGGAAGGCAAACCCCACCACAGTCCATACCGGTCTAAACATGGGGTAAAATTCCTTCCTGACACCAGATATGGCAATTGGTCTGACCCTGAGTGGAGGGGAAAGATCCTTTAATCAGAAACCTCCAGCTTTGGTCCCAGCAACAGCACTGACAAACCCCAGTCAAAGGCCCCAGCCTTGGCTCTAGTCAACACCAAATGCCTTTGAGGAAGGC